AGAACTTGAGCACAAGCTGTAGAGCTCAAACACTCACTACCGAGGTCAGCCACGAGCTGCAGAGGCCGAGCATGAAGTGCAGAAGTTGAACACGAGGTGCAGAGGTCGAGCATGAGTTGAAAACACTTGTTGCCGAGGTTGAGCACGAAGTGCAGAACTTGAGCACAATGTCACGGGACGAGACTCTAGCTAGTCACCATGCGGCACTTAGCTTGGATTTCACCCCTTAACCAAACCAAGTCAGCCTTCCCTTGGTGCTGGGCGCAGTCCACCTCTGGGACAAAGAGGCTTGTGAAGCTTAAAATGCAAAGGTTAGAAGTTGGGAGAAAATGAGAGTTTATTAGACGCAAGGAAAATTTACAAGAGTTTGGGTAATGCTTGGCTGAGTGCCTCTGCCTTCTAAGGCTCCTCCTATTTATAGAGGAGGCCAGCCACCCCAGACAGAGGTTCTAGAGCATTCCCAAAGAGTTCTCATATTGTACACTTCCTGGAACACTCCCAAATCCTCCCACCTGTCCTTATTCTAGAATTCTCCTTACTCTAGACTTATCTACAAGCAGCCCAGGTCGGACTACTGTTCACGTCCTTATCCGGACTACTGTTCACGGCCTTATCTTGGACCACTGTTCTGGGCCTTAGCCCTCCTCACAAGCTGCTTCTGGAGACTTCCCCGCGATTCTAGTTCGTGTCTAGGCGTCGCTACCATTTCCACTTGCGGCCGTGCCATCTAGACGCTCGGCGCGAGCACGCCAGGCCGTTAAGCCCGCGACGTTGCACTGCGACCCTGGCGCTGGGACCCTTCCCTTAGGCGTCCGAGCTCGCGGTCTGTGACACTCTCCCCCACCAAAGCTCTTGACGCCCTCGTCAAGCTTCCTGGCCTTGTAGGCCTCGATGGCGCTGGTGAACTGCCACAAGTCTTCCTCGCATCCCCAACTGGCCTCATCATCGAGCTGATCCTTCCACTTGACCAGGTACTCTGTGTGGTTGGGAACTCCCCGTTGCCGAATGATTCGATCGGCTAAGATCTCACTCACTTGCTTGTCATACGAGGTTATTGTCACTGGTGGTGCTCGTTGTGACACTCCTCGTGCTGGATCCTCAAGGTCTCCATGGAATGGCTTGAGCAGGCTCACGTGGAATACCGGGTGTATCTTCAGCTTTGGTGGAAGATCGACACGATAAGACACCTTTCCTACCTTTCCCAGAATCGGATAGGGTCCCTCGTATCGACGCACCAGCCCCTTGTGGACTTGTCGATAGGCTTTAAACTGCTGGGCTGGTAGCTTCACCATCACAAGGTCGCCCACTCGGAATTCCAACGGCCGTCGCTTTTTGTCTGCCCACTTCTTCATCTTTTTGGAGGCCTTGTCCAGGTAAACTTTAGCCACATCCAGCTGCTCCTGCCAATCTTTTGCCCAGTTGTATGCAGCAGGACTTGCACCAGTATAACCTCGCGTCACAGAGTGAGGTGGCAACGGTTGTTGGCCTGTCACGATCTCGAAGGGGCTTTGCTGGGTGGCCTCACTCCGCTACAAATTGTAGGAAAATTGAGCCACGTCCAATAATTTTGCCCAGTCGTGTTGATTGGAACTTACAAAATGCCGCAAATACAGCTCCAGTAATGCATTCACCCGCTCCGTTTGCCCGTCCGTCTACGGATGAAAGCTCGTGGAAAAGTGGAGGTCTGATCCCATGAACTTGAAAAGTTCCCTCCAAAACTTCCCCGTGAACCTCGGATCCCGATCGCTAATGATGATGCGAGGAAGCCCCCAATACTTCACCACGTGCTTGAAAAATAAGCGTGCTGCTTCCTCCGCCTTGCAATCCCGTGGGGCTGGGATGAAGGTTCCATACTTCGAAAATCGATCAACTACGACCAGTATAGACCCGCACCCATCAGACTATGGGAGAGCTGAGATGAAGTCCATGGTGACGCACTCCCATGGGCATTCTGGGGCTGGCAGGGGCTCCAAGAAGCCCCCAGGTTGCCGCTGCTCGATTTTGTCTTGCTGGCACACCAGGCACGTCCTTACATAGGCCTCAACATCATCCCGCATCCATGGCCAATAATATAATTCTTCCACCAATGCCATGGTGCGCTTGATTCCTGGATGTCCAGCCCACCTCGAGTCGTGGCACTCCTTCATCAGCTCACGTCGTAAATTTTCCCACTTCGGGATATATAGGCGATTCCCCACAGTATACAAAGCACCATCATTGCACCAGAATCATCGCGTCTTACCCTCACGAGCCAACTCCATAAGACTCTTAGCAAAGGGATCATGTGCCAGGCCCTCCTTGACACGATCCAGTATGTTACCCTCAGGTCGACTAATGGAGGCGAACATAGCCTTGCGGCTCAGCGCATCTGCCACAACGTTAACCCGCCCAGGCTTGTATTCCATCACATAGTCGAATTCAGCCAAGAAGTCTTGCCATCTTGCTTGCTTGGGTGTGAGCTTCTTCTGCCTTTGGAAGTAGCTCGTAGCTACGTTATCAGTCTTGATCACGAACCTGCTCCCAAGCAAGTAATGACGCCATACCCGCAAGCAATGGACGATGGCGGTCATCTCCTTATCATGCACCGTATACTGCCTCTCCGTGTCATTGAGCTTGTGGCTCTCAAACGCTATGGGATGGCCATCTTGCATCAAGACTCCTTCAATCGCCAAGTTCGACGCGTCAGTGTGCATCTCGAAAGGCCTCCCATAGTCGGGCAGTGCGAGCATTGGTTCTTGGCTCACCACTTGCTTCAAGTCCTCAAAAGCTCGTTGACACTCCGCTGTCCACTCCCACGAGACCTTCTTCTTGAGCAAGTCTGTCAAGGGTGTGGCCCTTGCAGAATACCCCTGGATGAACCGACGATAGTAGTTGACTAGGCCAAGGAAGGATCGCAGCTCGGGGACTGAGCTGGGAGGCTCCCACTCTTGGATGGCATGTACCTTGGCCGAGTCCATTGATATCTTCCCGTGGCCTACTCGATGGCCTAGGAACATCACTTCCTGTTGCGCAAATGAGCACTTCTCCGGTTTCACGTAGAGCTCATTCTCGCGCAACACCTGGAAGACTTGTCGAAGATGCTGCACATGCTCCTCCAACGTCTCGCTGTAGACCACAATGTCGTCCAAGTATACCACCACAAATTTGTCAACGAATGGGTGGACGACTTTGTTCATCAAGGTGCAGAAAGTAGCTGGAGCATTTGTGAGGCCGAAAGGCATCACCAGGAACTCGTATGCACCGTAACGCGTCACACAGGTGGTCTTTGCCTCGTCCCCATCGGCTATTCTCACTTGCCAATACCCCGACCTCAAGTCGAGCTTGGTGAACCATCGTGCCTTCCCAAGCTTGTCAAACAGGTCGTCAATCAAAGGAATGGGGTATTTTTTCTTCACTGTGATCTTGTTGAGCGCCCGGTAGTCGATGCACATGCGGAAGGTCCCGTCATGCTTCTTCTGAAACAGCACTAGCGCTCCATAGGGTGCTTTGGAGGGACGGATGAACCCCGCATCCAGTAGCTCTTTAAGTTGCTTCCGGAGTTCCTCCAACTCAGGTGGAGCCATGCGGTATAGACCCATTGCTGGTGGTTTCGAACCAGGCTCCAGCTCAATGGCATGGTCTACCTCCCTCCGTGGTGGAAGCTTCTTTGGCAGCTCCGGGGGCATCACATCATCAAACTCACAGAGAATGCCTTGAACTTCCTGTGGGACATCAAGAAACGAGGTACTATATTCCTTTAAAGCAGCTAAATAAGTATCCTCACCTCGTTTGATGCCTTTAGATACTTGTATAGCCGAGAGGACGCAGTCTCCAGCGGGTAGCCGCTCCAGTGGCACCTTGTGACTCTCGTTCTTGTCCTCAAAACGTATGCAGCCATCTTTGGTGAAGGTGAAAGGCAACAGCTGGTCGATAAACTCCCCACCCAACACCAGCTTAAAGTCGCTCATGGTTATGACATTCAAGTCAACCTTCCCCTACCATGAGCCTATCTGCACGGGCTCTCCGCGTGCAACACCACAGATGGGCTGAGAAGGATTGTCGACCACCTTCACCCATCCTGGTTCCTTGGTGTATGGCAGACCCAGCTTCTCCGCAAGACTCACTGCAATCAAATTTTGGTTAGCGCCACTATCCAACAGAGCACGGACGCTTATCCCTTTGATCTTGACAGTGACATATTTGAGGGTCTTGCCGCCACCCTTCTGTTTAGCCATGGCACGGACCTTGGCGTCACCCCCACTCTGCACCTTAGCCCGTATGGCGTTGAGAACTTGCATTGCTCCCAACTGTGTCTCCCCCGCTTGGGATGGCTCCCCAATCGCTGAGATGATGGCGTTGAGCTTGTTCCGCTGCGGGCACTCCCTTGCCCAGTGCGGACCGCCACACAGGTAGCAATCCCGCCTCACCGTGGGTTTCATCTTACCGCCATCACCTGCCTTTTCTGGGCCCTTGAAAGGCTTGAAGGCCTTGTGCGGTTTGTCTCCACCACCTTTGCTCGAGCTGCCCTTCTTGTCCTTGCCCCTCTTAGGAGCTTCCCTGCCGAACTCGATAAGTGATTCGGCAACCGCTATGGCTGACGCAACGTCCTGAACGCCACGGCGCTTCAGCTCTTGCTCAGCCCACTGCTGTAGTCCATCCATGAAGTAGAGGAGCCGATTCTTCTCAGTCATATCGGGGATCTAAAGCATTAAGGAGTTGTACTCCCTGATGTAGTCCTTGATCAACCCTGTATGTTTGAGCACACGAAGCTTCTTCATCGCCGCCTCTTCAGCATTCTCGGGGTAGAATTGCTTACGGAACTCCCCCTTGAACACCTCCCAAGTGTTGATGTTGCACAAGCCTCGTTGCATCTCAGCATGTTGGCGTCTCCACCACAGGGTGGCATCATGCTCCAAGTACATGGTTGCCATACGAATTTTCGCAGACTCATCGGAAATATTCATAGCATCTAAATAG